GCTCTTTTATTGTATAGGGATTATGCCCTCATTTCTGCCACAAGTCCAAAATATCTTTCCTATCCCTGTGGTCAAACATATAAATAACCTTGCTCGACCTGTCTGTGAGTTTCATGAGCAAGCTACCTTAAAGAAAGTAGAGCTAATTGAATGTGAATTGGTACATAGTTATAGAAATGATGCATGCTTATCAATTGGTGACAAATGATAGTTCATCTACACTAAATTCCGATACATAACTACAATTTGAAGTGTCGGAAATCAATCATAATACATTTTTTGAGGTGTTACCTATAAAATTGACACTTCAAAATTGTAATAAAGTGTCAAAATTCAATTGAATGGATGAATAAGGGAATATACTTACGAGGACGATGGATCTAAGCTCCGCAAGTTGAGAGCGCCCACCTAAGATCAACTTGATTTGTACCAAAGGGCAAAGGCGTGATACTTTTAAATACCAACATATTTATACAATGAAAAGTTGAGAGCGCCCACCTAAGATCAACTTGATTTGTGCCAAAGGGCAAAGGCGTGATACTTTTAAATACCAACATATTTATACAATGAAAGTAGAACGAGGATGTTTAAGATAAACACGTGGTTCTATAAGTAAGAAACGAATACATACACCACAAAGAAGTTTCATTGATTTAGGATAATTTAGTGGAAGAGTAACTTACATCATTTTATATCTTTTGTACAAATTATAAGAAATGGGAATAATGCCGTCTAGCACCCAATTTTGAGTAATTATGTTGTAGTCATTGAAATTATTTTTTTTACGGTAATAATTTTACAAATCTCCAACGAATATATTAACGTTCACTCGGTTAAATACAATACGACACCATTAATGTTTGATGGTGTAAAGATAATGAATAATGCACCTATAGAAATATGCTCAACGACGAGACACGCCGTGGAAGTTGTTCGACTTCGAACATTCTGGGATATCCTCAATTTGCACACTTTTCCATTTACCTTCCTGAAAGGTACATCATGTTATTTTTCCCTTTTTAATTTCTGAATTGTGTTTGCTGAATTTTAAGCATGCCCATTTTTCAAGATTTGATTTTCTTTTTGTTTTTCCTTTTCAAATTCTCTAATTTTCTTATTCTTTGACTTTTTGATAATGTTTGCCGAAATTTTGAGTATACCCATGTTTCAAGATGTGTATTTCCATTCAAATTTTAGGCTTTTTAGTTGCTAAGAGGACTGCTAAGAGCTGGTAGTTTTTCTCTGGTCTGATTTTTCTTTTCTTTTCTTATAAAATAGTTGGATCAAGGAAAAATAATAATTATATTTAATTTTCGGCTTTGTATTTGATTGGAATGCTGAGGGCTAAATGTTAGGACAGACCATTTTGAAAGATTTAATTTAATTTCATATTTAGTTATTCATTTTGCTGTTATCTGATAATTTACTGATCAATGTTACTGCCAGATCACTGTAAAAAGAATTTCCATTGTCTACTACTTTTTTTAATTGGGTGAATGTTAAGCCTGCCTCTTGCAAAAGATTGAATCCTGCATTCAATTCTATGATTTTATTTGCTAACTTTCATATTTGGTAACCAGAAAATTATTTGCAGAAGTTTAAGATTACCCTTTTGTAAAGATATAACTTCAATGCATACTTCAAGCTTTTCTTTGCTAAAATTTGGTCATTCTTTTGTGATCTGACACTTACATTTAGTTGTGAATTTATTAATGGACCATGTTAGACGAACCGCGTGGATGACCTCGGGGTTGACCTTGCACACACACATGGGGGTCGGGATTATTATATTCATGTGGGACCCTCACCTCAGTTGTGAGGGTGCGGTCATCCCCACGGTCATCCATGCGGGTCGTTTAGCATTATTCTTTATTAATAGCCTAGAAGCAACAAGATTTTACCTCATAGAATTGACAATAATCTATTAGTTATGTGTCTATATTAGTTTATAATGTTGATTTGCTGAATCAGAATCTACCTATTGATTTTTTTTTTTTTTTTTAAATTATTAATTAAATTG